GGCACAGCATCTGGTGGATTCGAACCATGTACCTCTGGGATTGCAGTGCAGCTTCTTGCTGGTTATACATTTTATCTAAAGTCATACTCTTTTAAGTTTTATCTGGTTAACTCTATGGAGAAGTCTACTATTAGTGAGAAATTCGTGTCCTTCTTTTGTTTTTAATTTTTTAAATTAATTTTAATGAAAGTTTACAGAAACTTTGGATTTTCATTCATTCACTGTTGCACTGTTCTCCTTGCCCAACCTCCCCCACAGTTCGCTCCTCTTTGAAAAGAAATTCTTTGATTGTTTATACGATCCCTCCCATCAAGTCCACTTCACTATGCAGCCTTTGTTTTGAAAAGTAAAAGAAAAATTCTTTCATTGTTATACAATCCGTCTCCCCAAGTCCACTCCACTATGCAACCTTCATTCTGCTGTCATAACAATAATGCCTAATGATATATCCCTTTTAAACAGTTCTCTCCCTCATCTGTTTTAATGCAGTATACATAATGTATCCTACCTTTCTCAGTTTCCCCCAACCCCAATGTCAGTTTCGTTTTACAACAGTGGCACTATGCAGTATTTGTCCTTTTGTGACAGAGATATTTCACTCAGCATTTTAAATAATATTTCATGAGTTCCTAAATGAACATTTCTACACTACTGGTAATATTTGTGGAGGTGGGGGTTATTATGTCCTTGAAGTAACTGAGAGAATTCTGGTAACTTCAATACAATTGTGCTAATTGAGAAATAGCTACCATCTAATAATAATATCCTAAAATTGTTGCCTAGTTATGAAGAAATTCTCATTTTTCTTTCCAAAGCTATTTTAAATTTTTGTTTGACATTTCTTGGCAAGAGCTGAAGTGTCTATTAACTGTCACTTTTCTAAAAAAACTAGGTTTTCTTTATTAAGTTAAAAAAGAAGTTTCTGAGTCTTATTCCAAACTAAGCTCATATTTAAAAGACAGTATTTTTTGAAAATTTCTTTTTGCCATTGAAGCTATATTTAAAAATTTCCATAAAGGGTTTACTAACAAAGAAAACAAATTTAAAGTTGTTCAGGCATTAAAAGATGGTAATAAGGTTTATAAACAGTATGATTCCAATTTTACATTTATTTAGAAAAATATTTTAAATACATAGAGAAAAATATTTGGAAGAATAAACATAGAAATGTTAACAATGTTGTTGTTGTTGTTGTTAGGTGCCATCGAGTTGAGTATGACCCATAGCGACCCTATGTACAATAGACCTGAACCCTGTCCTATTCTGTGCCATCCTCACACTTCCTGACACAGTGAAGCCCACTGTGGCAGTCCCTGTGACAATCCACCTGGCTAAGGGTCTTCCACTCCTCTGCCGACTCTCTACCTTCCCTAGCATCATGTCCCTCTCCAAGGAATAGCTTCTCCTAGCAACACGCCCGAAGTATGTGAGGCAAAGCCTCGTCACCTTTGCCTCCACAGAGCACTCTGGCTGCATTCTCTCCAAAACATACTTATTTGTTCTTTTGACCGTCTATCGGAAGTTTAGAGTTCTTCACGTTGTTAACAATGAGTCTATAAATAAAGGGCGGGATTATGGATACTTTTAAAAATTTCAACCTGTTTGAATTTTTAAGATTATAAAGCTCCCTACATATAATTATTATATGAAGTTATTTTTAATTTTAATATTCTTAAGAATAGAAAAATAATGTGACATTATTGCTCCATCAATGAGATAAACAGGTACATCAAATTCTTGTTGGAAAATACTCAAAACACTTTCATACAACCCAAAGACAGAAAAAATGGGCTCAAAAGTAGACCCTCAAAATGTATGTCCATGGATCCTTGGAATCTGTGAACATTACCTTACATAGTGGAGTGAGTATCATGTTACATGACAAAAATATATGATTAACTATTTTTAGGAGACAAGGAGAGACTGAGATAATGATGTGAAGATGAAGGCAGAATTGGGAGTGGTCCACTTACAGGCCAGGGAATGTGAGGGCGGCCACTGGAAGAGAGCAGCCATTGGCAGCTAGGAGAGGGAGGCAGATTTCTCCCAGAAGGCCTGGAGGGAATATAGTACTGCTGGATTTCGGACATCTGGTCTCCACTGTTTAAAACTGTAAACTGTTTAAAACAATAGTTTTAAACCACCACCAAGTCTTTGGCAGTCTCAGGAAATAAACACAGCTGGTACTCTAGTGCTAATAGGTGGCAGGGAAAGGACTGAAAAACCCAGAATTTTTTGGCTTTCAAGTGCAGACCAGTATTGTTCAGTATTTTTTAGATTATTCAAACTCAATCACTCCAGTGAGGAAAATCAGCTCAATTTTTTATAAGAAATGTTTGCTACATTTCTAAAAATGCATTTTTTTATCTTGATGTTTCAGCCTTGTGTAAGTTATATATCAAGTTGTAACTTCAAGTATTATTGTTGTAATTCTAGTTTTGGGTTCATTTTTAGTTTACTGATAAACAAATTTCCCTTGGACATTGCTTATTTCTTTAAAGCCTGACTTCATTAATCTGACTAAATTCTGTTTTTTAACCTTAAGGAAGGACTGTCTGAAAGGAATGGATACTTAGGCACTATATGTATGACAATTAACCATCTGGAGGAAGAGGTGCACTACAAAATGAACTAGAGGAGGGGGTATGAAGTGGAACCTTTCTGTAAACTTTTGTTAAAATCCCAATGTAAAAAAAATTACAGTGTGAGATTCTTAACCAACTAAAAATGCAATTTAACCTTTACCTGGAATAAACGAGTATTTGGCACGAAATCCCAGTCCTTCTAGTTCTTCATCAGAACTAAACTTAATCCACATGAATCTCCCCGTTGATCTAATTAATGGAGGACTTTTCACACCACAGTAACGGTCTATAAGTGGAGAAAAACCAAAAGGCCCGTCCCGAACTTCCAAGTGATCAAACCGACATTCAAATGAAGGTTCGATGTAATAATGTTCATCAAAAGTCAATTCTATTCGTTGCCTTGGAGCAGCTAGAAAGTAGAGCAAATATATAAAGATTTTCAGAGTCTTTTTCTTATTTTTTTGAAATCAAGACAGCACAAATTTTAGACTATAAATGTACTAATAGAAATGATACAAACAAAACCAGCAAAAAAACAGCCCAAACTGTTCTTTTACTATTTACTATATATAGATAAGGATGGAATTAAACGTTATATAAAAAAAGTGAGAAAAATATTATACTTTACATTAATGGTAACGTTAAACTTCATAAAACTATGGTAATCTTTTCCTTCAGCATTTCTGCCAAATGTGGGATGTTCGTAAGTTTAAAAAAGCTTCTGATGCATACATCCTGATGCACTGGGCTGCATTAGCAGATTTAAACTAATTTTAGGAAATTCATAGTTCTTACAAAATTTCAACTGTTCATGTGTCTAATACATAAGAATATTTTCAATTGTTTTTTTTTTTTAGAATATTTTCAATTGTTGTTATGGGTCGTCGAGTCCACTCTGCCTGATAGTGACCCTACTCACAATAGCCCTGAACCTTGCCCTACCCTGAGCCCATCTCAGTGTGTCTGACATACTTGCCCCCCAAACCCCAGTCACTGTGTCAATCCACTTCATCCAAGGTCTTCCTTCCTGCACCATCCTTCCACCCTTCCAACCCTGATGTCCTTCTTTAAGGAACAGTCTCTCCAGGAAGCATGCCTAAATTATGTACAAGCTTTAAAATCCTTGCCTCCAAGGAACAGCCTGAATATGTTCAATATTCTTCTCCAGCACCACAACTCAAAGGCATCGATTCTTCTTCGGTCATCCTTCTTCATTGTCCAGCTCTCTGACGCATAGCACATTAACTGTGAAGACCATGTACTGAATCAGGTGCACCTCAGTCTCCAGGCTGACATCCTTGCTCTTTGGCACTCTGGAGAGGTTGCTGACAGTAGACTTTCCTAATCTAATTTGTCTTTTGTTTTCTTGACTGCTGGTGCCTAGAGTGTTAATTGTGGAACCATGCAATCTATCATGATATTGTCAAATGGCCCAGTGGTGAGAACCTTTGTTTTCTTGATGTTGAACTTTAATCCATTTTGGAGACTGCAGTCTTTGACCTTCTGCAGCAAATGGTTCAGGTCCTCCTCAGTCTTAGTAAGCAAGGTGTGTCACCTGTATAATGCAGGCTGTTTATGAACCTTCCTCCAATTCTGATGCCACATTCCTCTTCATAAAGTCCAGCCTCTTGAGTGATCTGTTCTGCATATAGACGGAAAAGTTATGGAGATAGGACACATCCCTGACACACTTCTTTCCTGATTTTGAACCCAGCAGTGTTTCCTTGCTCTGTTCTGATGACTGCCCCCTGGTCCAAAAACAGGTTTCATATGAGCACAATCAAGTGCTCTGGGATTCTGACTCTTCTCAAGGTTAGCTACAATTTGTTGGGATCCACGCAGTCAACTGCCTTTGCATTATCAATGAAACACAGACAGACATTCCTCTGGTATTTTTAATTCTTAGTGTAATTTGAATACATATTTACGTTTCATTCAAATAAGTTTACCAGAACATCTTACCAATCTATTTGATTTTATAAGGAAGCAAAAGTTCATTCAATGAAAGACAAATTTGTTAAATACCTTCCAAAATGTAGATACATTCCTTGTTTGGTGGATACGAGTCTGGGTAATTTGGGGAAGCAAAATGACCTCCATTGCTGGTTCGAATCCAAATGCCACACTGTGTTGCAGGAATGTGTTTGATACCAATATTTTGTCCATCTTAGGTAAAAACAGAATTTAAAACATTCATGACAAAATAGCATTCTTCTCTTCTCAACAATTTCCCTAAACAACTGTCTACTCTACATTCTACATTAAGAGATATTTTTTGCTAAGAACCTCTGTCACATTTAATATAATAAATACAATACGGGTTGACTTGCAATAAGACAAGTAATTTCCAACTAGAGCCAAATTTATCATGTAGAGGATAGGAAAATAAAATGCTCAGCTTTTACAAGAGCAAAACTATGCAGCAACATTGGGTTATTCAATAAAAGTAACACAAAAATAAAAGAATCCTTCCTTAAACAATTGCTTCCTTTGCCATGAGAACTGGGTGGCATCCAGCTACCATTATGGAGTATCTTGATCAAAGAGTATAAAGAAAATCCTTAGTCAAAGGAGGAAAGTGTAGTAGAAAAAAATGTCATGAATTTCACACTCTGGAGCTAAAGAGGGTAGATGAATCACTGAAACTATTCCTTTATTATAATTTAAAAATCCAAAATCAAATGTGACCCCTGGAGTCTTCTTAAAACAAATTAGTAATTTAGTTTACCTAGTAAATAGTATCTTCCTTAAGCATTAAACTCTTTTTTAAAATATATATACAGTATCAATGCAATTAACAGTAACTCCATACATAGGAACCTCAGAGGATGACTCATTTATGCTAATTAATAGACAGGCACTGCTCAAGAAAGGAAAATGAGAATGGATGTCCAACTTGAATGTAACCAATGCCAATGAACGGTACATGCAGAAACAGGTAAACTGGTCCAAAGTTTGCTAAGTATATTTTCAACAACAAAATAAAATTGAAAAACAAATATATCAAATTCAGGAATTTATTTTTACCATCTCTTTACGTAGTTTAACAAAAAAATGCCAAATAAGAATCAAATATTACAGGAGGATTTTAACTAAAGAATATAAAGAGAATACATTTATTCTGTTCATTCCTGAAACCTCACCATACTGAAGGGACTTTGGTTTGGTGTGGGTTTTTTTGTTTTGGGTTTGTTTTTTTTTTTAAGGCATAATCCCTAAGCACACACATAAAGAAATAATGACTATTTCAATTAGGTTCTTAAAAACACTGACTAAAAGTCTGTTTAGAATGTGAGTGCTGATACCCTCTATAGGGAGTGGAGCTAACCCAGAGGCCATTCCCCTGGCAAGTTTCGAATCCATGTGAGGGAAAAGAAGAGCAATCTCTTTCCATGCAATTCACAGCCTAAGAAAACTGCTGGAGGGTCAGCTCTGGGCTGATTCTGACTTAGTAACAATGAGTGAGTGATAGCTTCTTTTACTCTAGAAATCTACACAGCTGTTTCCTTATCCCCACACTGTTGTTATTTCTTTGGAGGAGGGAGAGTCAGTGTGCTCCTTAGAAGAAAGAATGGTGAGACCTGGACTCACACATCTCCTGAATAAGATCTGAGTAGCTAGAGACACGCAGTCTTTGCCTGGCAGTGTAACATGCTAAGTAAGGCGATGCCACCGGAATCATCAAGAGGGGTCAATCTCTGGAGAAAGACATCATGCTCTGGAAAGTAGAGGCTGAATGAAAAAGCGGAAGACCCTCAATGAGATGGACAGAGCGACTGCAAAAATGGCAGATGCTGTGAGGGTGGCACAGGATAGGGCCTTCTTCATACACTGGGTAGCTGTGAGTAGAAGTTAGAACCTAAAGATTATAAAATACAGATTTTTAAATTACGGAATATTATGGGTCACTGGTGACTCACCAGCATATAACACCACAAAACATGCACAAATGAGGTTGAAAACAGGTAAATTCACTGAACAGTATTAACATAATGAATAAAACTTCCAGCCCTTTCTCCTCACTGAGATCTGCAAAGGAAAAATTTTTCTCTGTGACATCAAATCAGAAAAAAAAAAAAGACTCAAAGATATAGACTGAAGGATCCACTAAAAATAGGCTGCTAAACTGTGGAGGGCCACAGTACACAGGCACTCCCGATACCTGCTAAAAACTGATGAGCTTTTTAGTGTCCCTCATCCTAAATATGAACAGACATCTCGAGATCACCAGAAAGCAGAGGAAAGCGCTCTCTCACTCTCTCTCTCCCTCCCTCCCCCTGGTGGCCACTGTAATCCTGAAGGTTCAAATCCACTAGCTGCTCCACAGGATAAAGACGGGCAATCTCCTCCCATGCGATTAACTGCAGCTACGGGTCAGTTCTAACTTGGCAGTACACAACAACAACATATATAAAGAAAATGGAAATTCATTACCATCAAATCAGAACTGACTCCTAGGACATGCTCCAGTAGGTTTTCAGGAGTCTGTAAATAGCACAGGAAAAGATGGTCCATCTTCCTTCTGGGGGGCCACTGGGGAGTTCAAACTGCCAGAGAGGCATCACCATTGAATCAGCAGAGCAACTGCCCAAGGACTACACCACCAGAGCTCCCAATATGAGACAGAAGGACAGTAAAGGTACTTGTATACTGTTGACACTGGAAAGTAGGAAAGACCTCAACTTCCATAATTGTTCTTAGGTACCATCATGCTGAGTACAACTCATAGAGATCCGAATCCTGTTCTCTCCTGTGCCATCCTCATCATCTCAGACATACTTGAGTCCTCTACTGCACTCACTGCATTTATCAATCTCACTGATGGTCTTCCTCTCCTTCACAGATCCTCCACCTTTCCAAACATGACGTCCCCTTTCAAGGAACAGCTTCTTCTAACAACATAGCCAAAGTATGAGAGATGAAGTTTTGCCAGCTTTGCCTCCAAGGAGCATCCTGGCCACACTTTTTCCAAGACGTCTGTTTGTTCTTTTGGCAGTCCATAAGATGTTCCGTACTCTTCTCCAACATCACAACCCAAAAGGCATCAATTCTTTTTCTACCATCCTTATTCACCATCTGGCTCTTAGATACGTAACAAGTGATTGAAAAGATCATGGCCTGAATCAGGTGCACTGTAGTCTTCAGACTGGTATCATTGCTCTTTAGTATCTTGGAGAGATTCCTGACAAACAACTTTCCCAATGCAATATGTCTGCTGGTCTCCCTACTGCTGGTACCAAGGGTGTGGATTGCTGATTCAAGCAAGATGAAATAATTGACAACCTCAGTCCTTTCTGCATCTGATTATGTTTCCTATTGGCACAGTGGTGAGGAATTTTGTCCTCTTGGTGTTGACCTGTATTCCACATTGAAGGTTGTAGTCCTTGATCTTCTGCAGCAATTGTTTCAAGTCTTCACTTTCAGCAGGCAATGCTGTGTCACCTGCCTAATGCAGGTTGCTGATGAGTCTCTCACTGATCCTGATGCAAGCAAAAGTTCATTATAAAGACAGAGTAGAAAGGATAAAAAACAATACGGATGTCAGAAGACATATAAAAATTGCATCAGAGCATGGATAAGTCAAAACAAAGGGAAGAGATGCCAAAGCAAAAGAGTAGAATAGAAGCTTTCAAACGGCAGCTTGAGAAGACAAAGTAAAATATTATAACACAATGTGCAAAGAGCTCGAGTAAAAAAATCAAAAGGGACAAACTTGCTTGGCATTTCTTAAGCTAAAGGAACTGAAGAACAAATTAAATTCAAGCCTCAAGTTGCAATACTAAGAGATGCTATGGGCAAGATCTTGAATGATCCAGGAAGCATCATAAGGAGATGGAAGGCATACACAACATCACCGTACCTAAAA